GGGGAGGGCTGCTGCGTGCCCTGAGGGACCGAAAGCCAGGAAAATTCACTGTTTAACTTTGGAGTTTTTCTGATGAATAGCACGAGTTTCTTAGGAACAAAAATTCCTTCCCCCCTTCCCAGTAGGACGTGAAATTTTCATGGGTTAATAAAAACGAACCAAAAAAGTATAGCTAATTGTTTGTAGTTTTTGTTTTGTTTTGATTCCACGAATAAATTAGTTACTGTAGTGATTTGTTGCTCAACTTCAGCCAACTTCCACTATGTTTCACATTAATTTATTTCTTTTATTTGAGCACATGTGTGTATCTTGGCACAGGTAATCATAGTGCAGAATCATAATCACACCTCCTGATTTTGTTCCTGGTGTATTAAGAGTCCCAGGAACCACTGGATTATTAACATAGTGGATGTGGAGGAGTATTACCAGCGAGCTTTGAGTGACCTCTTCACAGCTAGGGAAGAGGATAGTACAGTAGCTCAACTTGTCTGTTCTCTGAAATCTGTCAATTTTGGTTGCATGTTTGATGTGACCTCGATATTTGAGCATCCTAATATCACTGATACTAAGTTAGTTTAAACTGATAAAACATTCTATTAATAATTCTAATGAGAACTAGGAAGGATTTCATTTTTTTGTTTTTAATGCTTTTCTTTTTTCCTCCTTTCTCTGCAGCTGGAAAATAAAACAAGAGGGAGACTTCAAAAGCAGATTTGTCAAGTTGTTCTGGACCATTTTGACAAGCAGTACACAAAAGAACTGGGAGATACATGGACCAGTGTCAGGTCTGTTGATTGGGGGAGATGGAGGGTGAGAAGAAGTCCTGTTATTCAAGTGCTTCATAAAATAACTTTGAAAAGTCATGGACTGTAACAACTGCTTCAGTTTATTTCAGTATAGAACTAGCACAAAAGTGTTAAAAGCCAGAAGACTAAAACATAAGATTTTTTTTTTTTCCTTTGACTTAGTTCTTTTGGACATAATGAAGTTTCTGTTCTCCTGTACATATGCACTGCAGGGAGTCTGCCATCTTAGGTGTTTGTTGACTGCTCTATAGAATCATGGTCCAAAAATCATTCCTTTATGCTTAACGGCTGGTTTTTTTCTACAGCTTTAGAGTATCTTGAGAGAATGGGACAAAAAATGTTAGGTGAGAAGTACATCCCCTGATTTCTTTCATTAGAAGGAGTTGAATATTAACAACATACAGAAAAGGCTATCACTTATTTTGAGCCTTAGTCAGACAGCTGCTAAAGAACTGGCTGTGGAATTGAGAGAAGACCATCTTCCCTTCCCTGGGAAGCTGGTGGTTGTCACTTCTAGGAAAGCCAGCAGAAGAGCCCTTCTGGAGAAGTGCAGCGCTTAGCTTATTTAGTTTTCAACAGGAATCTGAGAAAAAGCAGTTCACTTTTACCTAAAGTGCATGAGAAGTGCTCAGATGATCCATGTTGCTTTGAAGGGGAAAGTATTTTACATGATTAGTCTTGGAAACCATGTAATTCCTCTGAGTGATCTCTTTGGTTTAGCCTGTTTGGATTAAAAAGTAGTTTAAAAGAAGTGTCTCCATTGTTTTAAAAATATTTTTTTAAAGAAATGTAATTTAAGTGTATCAACTTAAAAGCTCTTAGGTTGGATCAGTGTGTATTTCTCTTTTAGGAAGTGATTTTTTTCAGGTTAGATGAAAAAATACTGAGATAAATTTAAGTAGAAAATGGGGGAAATGCATGTAAGAAAGGTCTGAAAAAACAAACTGAAATACAAGCGATCATGTTCCTATCATAAAAGTGCTGCATTTTTACTGTCTTCCAGGAATGTCCATTGGTTTAAGTTTCTCTGGCCCAATGTCTGCAGAACATAAAAGGGAATTTAGAAAAGAACACTTCTAAAAGCTTCATTTTACAGTGTTGGCTGGAATAACGGTTGTAAAGCCAATGTGATTATTTTTATTGTGATATTTACAGTGAAGGGTACAGTTGTTCTTTGTCCTTAGGGGAGTAGTACTTCATAGTCAGAAGGAGCATTATGCTTTGTAATTCATTAATTCTACAGTCATTTGTTAAAGAATTATGAAGAACAGAGAACATCTTGTTTCCAAACAGTGGTGGTTTAAATGCAATAATTAGCTAACAGGAAATCAAGCCACTATTTTAAAATTATTTTCCTGCATACTGTTCTTAATCATACCTAATAAAAATGTTTCTGTTTTGATTATACCAGTATCAGCCAGTGGAGAGATTGTTACCCTTACATAAGAGAAGCCTTCCTACGCTATGGAAAGCTCATTTTATTTGTGAAGTTACTGAACAGTTTTTCCTTTTTTCAACCTAGAGATGTACTCACCTGCCCATTGTGCTGGCAGTATGCCGTGCTGGTTAACAAGTTCAGCCAGTCTGCTGAGCTGGAGAACACGTTGCGTGTGAGGGGATATCAGCCTGCCTTCCAAGGACGTTTGCCCTACCTTCCAGCGTCGCTTAAGTGTTACACTGGGAGAACTCCTGGGAGATTCCCTGCACAAAAGCACCAGGCTGGTAAGCTGAAGGAGTATTACCTGCTGAACGCTGCTTCGCTGTTGCCCGTCCTGGCGCTAGAAGTGAAGGATGGGGAAGACGTTTTGGATCTCTGTGCTGCCCCAGGGGGTAAATCAGTAGCTCTGCTGCAGTGTGCCTATCCAGGTAATGTCTCCAGGTGCTGTTAGAAGTTGGTCCCTTGTTCCATGCCTTGGCTGTTTCAGTTGTGCCTGTTTTCTGTACAAGATTTGAATTAGGGGGAAAAAAAAACAAACAACAGTTTATCTTCCCAGAAGTTCTGTGCTATTTAGCAAAATATTTATGAAGTCTGTTTACCTAAAGGAGGATGAAAAATGCAGTAGATAATTAAATACAGGTTCCTGCAGGCTGACAGACAAATGTGGAATACCTCAATGTTTTTCTTCCTTACTGGTTCCCGTATTGTTACTTCTCAAGCAGTTAGTTAAAATCATATAGATTTCTTGGCACAGGGAGGTAAGTAATCGGCAGTCTTATAATACCTGTATTTTTGTACTTTTTTACTTTTTTTCTCTTTTTCTTTATCTCTGTTGGCTCTCTAGCCACTAATTTGAGTGTACTTAACATGTAAAGCAGAACATAACAAATTAAATGTGCAAGACCTAAGCGAAGGGAGACAGCTTATGATGAGGAATTGGTCTGTATCAGTATATAATAAGCTTTGTGTCTCAATCCACAGAGATGTTGCGGAAGGGGACTAGGATAATCACAGTGTTTAGAAGGCAACAGCAAGCAGCAGTTCAGTTCTCCCAAGCCTGGGATTTAAGGCAAGCTGTGATTGCAGCTCCCAAGTTTGTGTTAGCTTGGGTAGTAATTGTCTCAAAATGTTCACAGCACCTTATGTTCTTGCTGCTGAGACTGTTACTATAACCACCTGCATCTGCTGATCACAGCTGGTTCTCCCTCCCTCTTCCAGAGGACTGAGGTGATGCCAGTGAGGTAGAATGTGGATTGCCCCTTTACAAAGGTTTAAAAACAAAACAAAAAAAAAGCAAACCAAACCAAACAAACAAAAAAAAAACCACCAGCAAACCAGTCACTTTTATCCCATGGCTGCTTCTGAAAATACCAAATTGTTGCAGAGAATGTAAGATGTGAGGAAGCTGCTCCTTAATGTATCTCAGAGAATGCCAAAGTGTACCATATTGTGTGTGGCAAACATGGTGTAGGACAGTCTGTGGAGATATTAAAATAGAAATTTTATTAAATTAGAATTCAGGACTAGGGAAAAAAATTGCATGCTGTGTTTCTGGTCTGGGTACAAGCAACAGCAGTGTTTCTTCTGACAGGGTAACTGATCTGGCTACACTGTTAAAGGTAAGTGCAACCAAAAGGCTTTTGTTAAAATGCATCTAGCTTAAATTTCAAATAAATAAGGGGTTGGACTTCTTGGCTTTGGATTCACAAAACAGTTTTGTTTATTTAAAAGGCAATTAATTAATAAGGAGCATCTACTCAATTTAGACAGTGGCTCAAGGAGCCCAGAAGGGCCCTCTGCACTGGTCTGTGGATATGAATCATGTTTGTTTTACTGCGGAAGTCTATTGCTACTATAAGAATTTGCTAGTAAGTATTTATGGATTGCTTTGTAGGAGCATGTTTATAAAATTCAGTAGTGTTATAAAATGTGCAATAACATAAGCACCTAAGGTGTAAACTATGGCAGTCATGGCAGAACTACTGAAATCAGTGTGACTCTTTATGTTTCTAAAAAAAAATTAAACAGAAAAAAGACATAAAGACCTATTTTATGGTGTTTAATTTTTTTATTTTCCTAAGGTAAATTTCACTGTAATGAATATGATGATTTGAGGTCAAGATGGTTGAAACAGACAATTGAATCCTTCATCCCGGATCCTCTGATTAACTTAATAATGGTCACTGGACTGGATGGTAGAGAGATTGGAAATCTTAAGCCTGAATTATATGACAAGGTAATGTTATAACCTACTAGCAAATGGTATTTCTTCATTTTGCTTCTTTTTCTTCTTTGTTCTCTCTTTTTAATTTTCTTTCTTTTTTTAATGTCCCCCTTCTCAAAATGTGTAACATATCAAGGGGAACCAAGCTCACATAGAGGATTTGCAGAGCCTCAGGAATCACTTTCTGAAGACTGTTGTGCATTTATCCATGTATTAGATGATGTTACCCATTTATCTTTGGTAGTGAATTCTGAAGACCTTGGAGCAGTGTTATTTGAATAATGTGTAATTAGGAAGGGGGGATAATAAGTGAGGACTATTCAGGTAGAAGGTGCTTCTGGAGCAGTAATTTCTTATCCCTCTCCCTGATAACTCTATAAAAACTTCTAAAATTATTAATTATGTAATTTCTGCCCCAAATGGCAAAGTAAAAAGGGTGTTCTAAGTGTTTGCAAAAATACATTGAGTAGATTTTGTGACACTGTTCAGGAAGTGAATACGTTTGTTCTGAAGTGTCTTATTTGCTCTTAACTTGTATAGGTGCTGGTTGATGCTCCTTGTTCAAATGACAGAAGTTGGTTGTTCTCTTCTGATACTCAGCAAGCTTCACATAGGCTCACACAAAGGAAGGAGTTGTCATCTCTGCAGTTCCAGCTGCTAAGGTGAGAAGTGCAAAGGAAAGCTATTAAATGAGCTTTTTGTAATCAATAAAAATGATGCGGGCAAGATTTGTCCTATTTAATAACCAACACCAGGTTTCAGCGTGTGAAAAGAATGTGAAAAATATGCTGTTGCAATGCTCTTTAGAATAAGTAGTTGATCTAGAAGAACATGAATATGGAAATTTAAACAATGAGGCCTAGAGCCTCTCCTGCTGTACTGTTCTCTTAATGCCCTTGTTCACATGTATGTCCATTTCCAGGTGACTCGAAACCACCTGGTACCATATCAAAATATTTTTGGCGGACGCAGCTAAAATGGCTTCAGATATATTCCATTTCTGGAGCAAAACCACAGATGTATTTTGTAATTGTGGTTTTTATAATATGTGAAAGTAGTTTGTAAACCTCCCAAGCTGGACATTCTTCCCCAGACTCCTTTTGTTGTTGTTCTTTCATAGAATTGTCCCTTACGGTTCTTTCTTACAGGTTTTTTGATAACTTAGCACTAAGTCAAGACTGGTTACCAATCATCACTTATGTCATTAGTTAATATTGCTTCAGAATTTGCTTTCTGAGCTGTTTATCTGAAGAGATTGTGTCCACTGTTGCACATCCTTACATGCTGCTTGGATTTAATATCCGTCTGACTGTAGCACAGAAAGAGTGCTGATCATAGTTGATAGGGTGAAAAAGTAAAAGGATGTGGAGTTTGGTGGGGCAAAGAGGATTGTTTTGTTTATTTTTCAAGACCATCCACTCAATAATCCATGTCAAGGTTGTCGTGCATTACACTTTTTGATACCAGCCACAGACTAGCATTTGGGAAGCGTCCTGCTGGACAAAAAAACAAACAAACTAAAAACAAACCACCACCCCACAAAACCTTTTAAACCTCAGTGTTTTTTACAAAGTAACAGTCACACCTGAAATCCATCTGTCAAGGCAAATTGAGGGAAAAAGAACATATTATTAAAAAGAAAAAAGAAGTTTTTATGGAGAGTTCCCACTGCAACAGTTCAAGATAGTTTTGCATTACTTTCAGTTGAAAAAGGCCTAGAAGAAGCCTATGATTTATAACAGAAATATGACTATCTTATTGAAGTAATGCATCATGCCACCCATTTCCTTTGGAGTAATCAATCACATTTAAAACACTGACCTGTTTCAGTTTTCCCTTTTCAGTATTTGACATATAAAATCCAATTTGTGAACCTACCTAAAGAAAGCATATATCATGCAGAGTAATTTTGAGAGTTTGCATAAATCACTCCAGATTGTAATCCTGAAGTGGAGAACTCATGACAGCAGGAACTCTAATTTTTTAAAAAAGGAGGTATTCATGTCAGACCAAACCAGATTTAATTAATTATTTCTAAATCAGGAAGAGAACATTACTTCTGTTGAAAGTATACTATAGCAACAGCAATAAGAATCAGATCTGTAAGGACAATATATTTTGATATGTAAATTGAAGTAGATTATGGTAGTAAAGGATGTTAATTTCAATTTCATTGCTTAACATAGGTCTGAGCAGTTATGTAGATAGACCAGTTTATTGTTAGGTACACTGGAATCCTTTTGTCTTTTAAAAGATTTTTGATCATATGAAGTTAGTGAGTAGGTTGAGGACTTAGATATTACAAGTGTTATTGGGTAAAATATTTGACATATTCTCAGTAAACGGTATAGCTGTCCACTGTATTATTGTTCCTTTTATCTCCTGATTTTAGAATGAATTTCCAATACTAAAGACATCTCAGATCTCGTGTGACAGGGAAAAAGGAAATGATAAAATGAGGCCAGAGAAGGCTTAAATCATTTGTGCAAATGCATTAGAAGTTTGGCGCAACTAAAATTGTGCAATACTACCCTATTCAAGCCTTTTTTTTATGGCTAAAGTGCAGAATTATAAATAGAAAATTGAGTTTTAATCCTGTATGATACTTGCAGTAATATTCAAAAGGTCTCAACCTACATTAATCCAGCCCTACTGCATTTTATGTGAGTCAGCTACCTCTGGGTTATCTGTTGAGGTTACCTGCTGCTTTATGCTTGTGGGTGTTTCTCACCTTGGTTCCTGTATGATTAAAACAATAACAGGTATAAAGCTGGATCCCAGCAGTTTTGTTGAGAGTAGTGTAAGAAATATTGCATGATTTGAAGACGAAGCTTAAAATATAAGGATCAAGCATTGTTTTTAATTGTTTTGCAATACAGTTAAATACAAGGGTAAAACACAAACAAGAGGAATGAATTGCAAAGGGGAGCTCTATTTTCATTCAAAATTTGAGATTTGCTCTTGTCTTAAGGAAATGCTTCACTTCTAGTTTGTTTTTCTGGTTTTGGTCTTGCACTTTTTTTGGAGGGAGCATACTTTCTGTTTTAGCAGATCTGAGTGAGGGCAAAGCTGTGGACATGAGTGAGTAAGGCAAGGAAGGGAGAGTGCTTTTTGCAGTACAATGTAGTTTATTAAGTACATTGAGGCTTCAGAGAATAAAGGTCTGGAAGAAATGTTGAAACTGATGCAACCATCTTCATACTCCAATCTGAATGAAATCTGAAATGTAGACAAGTGGCATAAATGCTGAACAGCAAATTTTATGAGGGCACCACTGATTTGGAGGAAACTGAGACTGTAATGATTGTCAATACCAAAACCAAAGCATCCCTGCTGAGTGCTATAATCCAAGAATTTACTGCAAATCTTGTTGTTGTTTGGAATGTTCATGCAGAAACCAAACTGCAAATTGAGGAAGGAATGTTCACTTCCTGATACTGAATGTAGGACAAAATGCAGTGGCTCATGTAAGTGAATTTACAAATGTTATCAGTTCTCAGAAATGAAATTTTAAAAACTGTTTCAGATGTTGTAATTATTCCTAGGACGTTTATTGTGGCTGAAAGAAACTGTGTTAGGGTTCAGCTAAATCCAACAGGATACAATTTAGAGAACATAGGATAGTCATTCAGACTACTGCAACTCTTCCAGACACAACATATCTCAGTAATTAAAGAGCTCTAATTCTTGTTTAATGAGGTTCTGGTCTACAGGAACTCAGACTTACTTTAAAAGATACATGTTGGCTGACTATCGTTTTTCACCTCTTTCTCTGCCTAGTGGTTAGCTACACGGGAGATTTTTTTTGAATACCTAACATGCACACAAAAAGTTAAGAAACTTGGGGTGCCTGAAAAGTCTGCAGTCTTCTTTGGATTACTGGTGGCAAAATAAGCCATACAAAATGCTCATTTTCCTAGCTGATCTCTTTCGAGCTCTATGTATTCATTTTTTTTGAGCTTGGGGTGAAGCATTAAACTTGGCTTGAGAAATCCAGAAAAGCCTTTATTCTTCCTAGTTAATTAAATGCCTTAATCCCTGTTTTGCTTATAAATATGATTTGTAAGGAATTGTGTCTGGTTCTGTATAACATGTGTATCTCCTTTTACAGACCCTATGGTAATGGAGTGCAATAGTGTGATGAAATTAATGGTTTGCTCTGTATAAAGAACGTTTTTGTTTTGGGTATCAATCATAACAAGCTGTTTGAAATTGGTGATCTTTTTCAAAAGAAGGTTACCGGAAGTTTTGAGGGGGTCTTTGGGGGGGTTGGGTTTTTTCCCTCTCTCATTGAATAGTTTGGGAGGTAGGAGGGTTGTGCAGATGCTTTTACTTGGAAGGAAAAATTAAAAAAAAATCTCAGCCTAAATATTCTGAACTTTTTTTTTTTTTTTTCTGAATTAAAGGGTACCTAAACCATTACTTAGTGTCACATGTAAGTAACTAGGTGTTGTACGAGTGGCTTCATAAAAGTATTGATCTGCATTTGTCTTGCTCCTTCAGTCCCAGAGCAGAGGAGGCTGATGGTGCAGTGTGTGTGGTGGTTTACCAATCTGCACATGTGGGAAGTAAATGAGACTGTTTCCCTTCAGTCATCAGGAAGAATTGGCAAACTAAGTCTCTAAGGGCTAATCAACATCCCACAGGACCCACTTTATTTTCTCCAGTCCAGAGCTTTAAAAATATATCTTACTTAGAAAAAATGTTAAAACTTTTGGTGGAAATGTAGGAGACAAATATAACAAACCCTAAGTTACAAGCTTTCCTCTTTTCTCTGGTATGTGAAAATTAGTGATACAGTTTCACAGAATACATATAGATTTATTTGTTGAAAAAGCATGTTTTTCACATAGTGTGTAGGAAATACTGTGTTTTACTGGAGAAACCCTGATACTCTTCCTCCTGCATTCAGTCACTTCTCTGTTTTCACTGAAATAAAGAGTTTTCCACATGCACCTAGAGAAAGAATTGTGTGCTCTTAATTGTGGTAGTTCGTTGTTGTTGTAGAGTGAAGGCAAATATTGTTTTTAATAAATATACTGTCATGTATTCAGTATATGGTACTACTGTACCACTTCTGCTTTAAGACAAAAGCCTTTGTAGCACATGGGTGTGTAATGATGAAGTAAAAAGGAAGATGCTCACACTTAAGTACTTGTCCTTTCCAGGCAAAGTGTTTCAGTTTTGTTTGTGATTTGCTACTGGAAAAAAAACTCAGACTTTAATGTTCATTGCAAAGGCCAGGAGAGCTGGTGTCTTGAACCTTTAAAAAAAAAATCACCATCATAGAAGTTGCTTGAGTTTGAGTCTCAGACATTAAAAGGATGGCAGGGCTGAATGTTTTGGGGGAAGGAGAAGCACAAGGGAGTTCTTCCAGAAATACAGTAGCTCTTCTGCCACGAATTTCTGTTTGAGCGTGTCCTGGACTCCTGCACAGGAGCTGCCTGGGTGAAGTACACCCTGGTGTTTTGGGGTGACCTGAGGGAATTCTGAGCTGAGGAATTAATTGGGTACCATTTTCTGTGGAGAATGGAAAGAAAGCATGTAGAAAAGTGGAGAAAATTCTGTTGATGATTGTTTCATCACACTGTTCTTCATC